AATTCAATGGGCATTCTACTGACCTACTACACAATTACTATTATTCTTACTAAACTCCCACCAACTGTTTACTGGAAGTACGTAAAGGCAGTGAGAAGGGGCTGAACGGAAGTCTGTGAATTCCCACAATATTATATATATTTTATTACACGAGCAGATTCGTGCGTATTTGTAATTTAACACGTATCCTAGACAATAATAATAAGAACCAACATGATAACGAAGAAACATAGAAACACAATAACAAGGATACAACACAAAACAAAAAGAAAGAGAAGGAAATTGGTACAATGGAGTTACGGACTCAAACAAGTGTCCACAATTGTTTTGAATGCATTGTAGGATGCTGTAAATATCCGACGCTTCTTGCATAACTTTCGAAACAAGGAAAGAACTCTAGAAGTGAAGAAATGACGCCTGATATTTGATCTGGCTCTACCCACATCTAACTTTAACCCGTCGCCTCTCGTTATTGAGGACCTTCTCGTCCAGAGCTCACCGATATCTAAGTCCATTTTGCCATGTACCAGTTTGTGAAACAACAAGAGATCGTTTCTCCTCCGCCTGAACTCCAATGAAGTTAAACCCAAGTTTTTGTTTCTGACAGCAGCTGAAGGGATTTGGTCATACATAAAGCCGAGTACCCTCACCATTAGTTTTCTAGTGAAATTGTTTTGGACGGCCTCAAGTTTCTTAACTGACATAACCCGAAATGGGCTGAACACAGGGGTACCGTATTCCAAGATAGGCCTAACGTAGGACTTATAAGCCCGCAACAAGACTGAGGGGCTCCTAGTTGACAAAGCTCTGAACAAATTATACATGACAGCTGTAGCTTTTCTTGCAACATTTTCACAGTGATGATCGAAGTTAAGATCCTTGGTTATCAGAAACCCTAGATCGGTAACTTGATCGACTGCAGATAAAGGTGTACCGTTGATGTGGTAAATATGTCGAGGATTACTTTTCCCCAGATGAAGAACTCTAGTTTTGTCCGTCATTCATACGTTCATAAAACTTCTCCTCGCTGTTACTTTTGCAGATTTCCAAAGCTAATAGAAACTAGAAGATTGACGCTATTTGAAATGATATCGAGATTTTTTTGCATGACTACTCTTCCGAAAAATCGTCCCGTTGTTCCGTTTTTTCCCTCCATGGTTTTATCAAGCCATTCTCCTAAAACGCTAGTTTCTAAATTTTAATAACCATAAGTCCCTTCATTACTGGTCTAATGAGAAGCGATAAAAACCGTTGAAATCCACATGACATGCACTTCTTCATAACATATGCTAGAATATCTTGAAAGAAAACTTTTTCCTGCCATAGGTTTCTATTAGTACTCCAGAGGTCAATCAGCCGAATTCGCTGCACTTTCCTCCACTTTGATTTGTTCTAAAAGCATGGGAGTTTCTCTGGAAGATTTTCGCTTGTGCTCACTGAACATGACGCCATTCAATCGGCGCATCCTAGAACGAGATTTCTTACTCAAATACGTCCACTCTGTGGTGCGTAGTCGCAGTGGCAGTTGAAAGTCTGTCCTCCTTTGCCACTTAGCCACGCCTTGGCAGCTTCTAATTTTGTGAATGGTACTTGAGGTTACGACCCCTCCCTTCCATTGGCCAAATACGACCCCCTCGTTGTTCTTTGCGCAACGGGCGGTTGACCCTATATGCAATCCCGTCTAAATCTAATTGATGCGTCCGCACTCCTCGAATCCTGTGTAGTGGTACGGCATCATTTTACGGACTACCATCACCGAGCCTCCGCCAAGTTTTACGATATGGCAGTTGATTCCTTGGATCGAAACGTTTTCCCTCAGGACCGCACACATTCCTATTTCAGTCGCCGACAAACATCTTGAATTTACTCTCGTTGCTCCAGATGACGTTGGAGCCCTGTGAGGGATCTCGAGTTTAGGTGTGCGTAGACCCGTTTCCATAGCCGACCACTTCACCACCAGATACCTTCATAAGGTTCCAATTGGTGAAGGGGCACGTATACAGTTAGGTTTTAGAAGGTGTTGCGTATTCAAACGTCTGGCACGTGTGCTGTACTACTTCGTCTTCTAGCAAGAGCGACCAAAACGTCGCACCTCCACTGTGAAGGAATGGTTTCGACAGCATGCTATGCTCTTAACGGAGGCTAATCCTGACGCACGACCTGAGCGCCATCGAAACATTATGGGAAAGAGTAGGGATACCTTTGGTGGAAATAAGAGCCATGAATATGGGCGAGAAACTCGTCAATTTCAAGAAAAATGGAGGAAGTTGTCCTGGTAGAGAGTGCATTCATTGACTGGTTCCATACTTGGGTCCTTGAAAGATTTTAGCGACCACAGAAGTTTAGTTATAAAGTACTGAATTCGCTTAATATTGTTCATCATGTGGTGGACTGTTGCTTCAGAGTGCTTAATTTTTACTACCCTTTTATGGTGGCAGATACCTAGACCGTTGACTGGGGTTGTATGTGGAGCAACTACGCTTCCAAGTTACTGCAGAACTAGTATAGTGTGTCGAGCGGAAATGAAAGATAGATACAGAATGTCTCCATTTTCTCAGAACTTTTCTTCCACTGCCTCGACGGCATCTAAAGCTTTAAAGGAAAAATTCTTTTTATTTTCCTGAACGGATATGTCAGTTGTGATTTATAGAGTTATAAGGTGTAAAGTTTCACGCATGAAAATTTGCTTTTCGAAGAGAAACATACTTACGAAACACACCATGGACGGTCGAGGTAGGGCCGCGCGGAAACAACGGCGAAACACTGCCGGAGAAGTCCGCCTGGGTGCCACCTGTTCACGCACGCAGTTGGATGAATCGGGTTGAAGCTTTGGATTTGGAGAATACTAACAAAACGATCGAAACAAAGCATAGAATAACCGAGTGGAATCGTTCCCGTTGTTAGAATTGAGACGAAAATATTGTATGCCTGAAATTCGAAGGGTGGAGCAGTCAGTGAAACAATCAGTATTAACATAGACAGCTTTATTGATCGCAACACAATCAATACTTGAGATCTAGCAATCAGATCCTGTACAATTCACAACCGTAATCAATGTGGGACACGCCGTGTTGGTTCGGAGTGCATGGGAGAATTTTTAGAGATAATCACAAAATTACTGAGACGTCTGATAAAGCTGGGATGTTGGGAGATAGGTGAGGTGTTGGTGTGTGCGGTGGGATCCGGACATCACGATATTGATATTTGGCACTCATCGTCATAAAACGGTGAACGAGAGAGTTCTTTGGTATACATGTAGATTAAAGATATGCATGGCAAATCGGACCATATCAGTGATCTCAGCGTGCGAGTCGTTCAGCCAGTCGTTGCACTTCGCACTCGTAGCACTCGGCATTGGCCAGCGCCTCGGCCTCGGCAGTGTGGCCAAAGTAGCGCAAAGCGGCCACCGCCTGCTCCTTTGGTAGCTCGAATAATCGTTCGAACAAAAGCACGGCGTACTGATGGAAATCGCCGGCAGCATGGTGTTGAAGAAGCTGAAAGTAGTTGGCTTGGATTTGATTGTCCAATACGATCAGTCATTTTATTGCATCCTTCTGAGATTTTATCATTTTTGCGACAGCATCCGTGCTAACTTCGATTTTAAGCGGAAATAAGAAAAATGCGTCTTCAGCTTTAATGTTTTTTTTGTGATGGTGCAAAAATTATTTTCTTTGATTTTGGTGTTGTACGAAAACCGTAGTTCACGCTCATTTTCATTCAAAAAAAGGTCTTGATGAGTGCGCTGCATTCTGTGCGCTATCGCTTATCTTTTTGCTCGCGTCTAAACTAGAAACTGAAACAAAAATACAAACTTCATACATCGGAATGGTCAGCACCTTGCGGGCTTTATAAAGACAACCGAAACTTCAGAAAGTGGCTAGGAATAACTCGAAAAAAAGACCACAGTTCTAGCAGAACCTATCGGTAAACCATCGTGAAAGTAATCGTAAACAAAACCGCGAAATTCTGCCTTCCCTTACTCTATGAATTAAGATTGATATTTTACGATAAGAGCGAAAGGAGGGAAAAAATTCAGTTTCTTCCGGTAAACACCCCGAAAACTAAAAGAACTAATCCTTCAAAATCCCGATCAGCTAGAAGCTTCCACAATTGTTGCGCTGGAACGGCACGCTGTCATTTGGTGCTCTCGGAGTATATGTCACTAGCAAGGGGGGGGGTTTCAGGACATAAGATCGTTTTTATCAAATGGTTACTGGTTTTTAGCAGGTCGTGTGAGGAACACAAGAACCATGGGTTCATTTTTCCTGAACGCCCTGGGTATGTTCAAGAGAGCGGGATCCAAATTGCCGCAAAACACGACAATGACATCTATACTCGACGATGGCGTTATTTGGCGGCAATCTGGGGGCGCCAAACTATATTGCAAAAATTAGTCATCACCGGGGATCGAACTCTCGCAGAAAACCATTTCGAAAAAGCGCTCCATGTCCTGAAAGACCTTCCTTGTAAGAAATCTGTTCGGCTGTCTCACCAATGGCAGCCCTCACTTTACAACTTCTATCGCATCCTAATCTATCACGCTGAACTTCCCTGAATCTGACTCTGACCTCCCTGAATTCGGAAGCTCGAATTCAACTTCCTACGCGTGACCCTGGCCATTCCACCATTCCTATGCGCTCATTGGCTCCGCCTAGTTGTCTGTTCGTGTCTACAATTGTGGTTCTCGAAAATTTCCTCCTTTTAAAATTGAATTTCCATGCGTGAAACTATGAATGCTGCAACAAATGGCGCCTTTGGGTAGGGGAGAAATATGTACAACAAGTACCCGAGCACGATTTCTTCAATTTTTATATATTTGTTGCTACTTCCCATTAAAATTGATTGTTTCGGGGGTTCTTGTACCTTGCCAGGAGTTACAACCTTCCACGAGTCAGTGGTATCGCATCTCCCTACTCTTAAACTTACTAATGGATCTTTCATAATTGACGAACTGGCGAGGCGCCGCTCGGCCGGCTATACTTCCGTTCCTTGTTTACGCGAAAGTGCTTAAATCTTTCTCAAGATTTCGAATAAGCGAGCTATGACAGAGCTAGCGTAGCGCAACCGGTACCAATCACGTGACCATTACGTAACTTTCTCACCCTACCGTCCCCTTTATCACCGTCAAGACCAAGCATTTGGTATGGTTCGACCTTTGCAACGCAAAACGCTTGCGTGGCACGAATTTTCTCGTACCAGCTTGATCAGTGGTCGAGTGTGTAGCGCAATCGGATAATCAGTTATGTTGAGCTGATTGGATCAGTTAGTGATTGACCATACTGGAGTTGATATGTGTTTGCGCAATTGATTACGCGCTATCAGGCAGTGCGCTGACGGTTGCACGACGACAGGGCCATGGCTGGCGCTGATAAAGCCTTACGGCGACTCTACGTAGGTTTTGTTTCGCGGATGCGACCACAGCGCCTGCGTTTGAATATTGCGAAAGTAGGAGCTAAGGATTCCACGCAAAATTACGGAAACATCATTGTACATGAGAAGCAGCAGCATTGATAGGACGATGCAAAAGGCCGCCAATTGCGGGGGACCGATCGGGTTCATTAAGCGTGCAGCTTACACCAAAAATCACGTCTCGGTCTGAGTGGGCCTAGCCAATATAATGATAGGGATGACAGTATCTAGGGTGAACCGAAAATGCCACAACACCACCCAAAACGAGCGAATCCCCTCCCACCGGGGGTGCAGAACGTGCCCAAATAGGGTGCAATAATTCCGTTTGGGATGTGTCAGATATCTTAAAGGGGGCAGAGTTCAGCGAAAGCGGCAGTTGAGAGCTCGTTATGCTCAGGATGTGCCCATTAAGCTAGAATTAAGAATTGCTGCTGCTGTGCTGTTTGCGGAACCGAATCGGTATTTGGGTAATGGGTACATTACCCAATGCCCTCAGCTATTTCCATTTAGCACCAAATATATCCTGGACCACTACAAACACTCATTTTTGTTAAAGGCAAGATTCGGGATAAAATAGGTGTGGAAAAGCGTTCAGTTATGAAGCTATAGGTGGGAGGTGGTCTGTAAAGAGAAGGAAAGCAAACGAAACCACCGATTACGCCCCGTACAGAGACCTCCCCTATTTCAGCCACATTCCACCTTGGGATAGAGAAGAGGCGAATTGGACGAGTTTCACGAACCTAACTCTACTTGCTCCAGTGTCAATAACATTGGATCGCGCTGGGACCACTGCCTCAAATGCGCCCGCGCTTTTCAAGCAGCGCCACGTGGCAACCGACAGCGAAGGGTGGGGCTTGCGGACGAAGGTGTGAGTTGCGGGTTGGACGAGCTCCTTGCGCCTTTGTCGCGTACTTTCAAGCCGCAAAAGGGGCCCGACATCAACACTTGCCCACCTACTACCCCCTGGATGGAACAGGCGAGCCCGCCTGATCGCGGAGCGTGCCAAACACTCATTTTTGTTAATATCATTGATATGATTCGATTTCACTTGCTTGCTAATGATAGCTTCCCCTGTCCCTCATGATTCGGTCCACCGATTTATCATAGATTTAATAAAAGCTGTTACTTTTATTGATTAGTCACTTACATAATTCCTATCCTCGTCAGTGAGGAAGGTTTCAAGAAATTTTGGCGGTCGTTTTAACCTCATGAACTTCTCGATTCTCCGCCTTGCCGCGTCGTCGATATCCGAATCCATCAACTTTCGCTGAAATGAGGTAGCTCAGTAAGTAAATGAGTCTGGTTTCAGAAGACAGTACAATGGTACATTGGGATCAAGCTCAGTGCTGAGGGCTGACCACGCCTTTCCCTTCCTTAACATTTTCAACGTCACGTCCGATTCCCAAAAGGTGTTAGAGCGAAATGGCGTAAAGAAGAGGGAGAGAAAATAAAATGAATTATTTCCAAATGAATTCTGAATTCGTTCCAGAATCCCTAAGTTTCGAGTTTCTTTTGTTGTTGAAAATTTCTACACTAGTTTCTCCTCTACCTTTCAAAACAAACCAAGGACCTCCACTCTCGGACTGGGACTCCAAGACGGTGTAGATCCTTGGCCCTGTTGGACGGGTGAAGCTTACAGGCATTCGGCATTCCAGAATTGCCACGCCCAAGAATAAAATATCAGGTTTATGTTAACGAGTAAGGTTATTGATGGGCGTGAAGGGGTTAACGAAGTTTTTGAACCGCTGGGCACCCTTATTCGAGGAGAAGCTCAAAACGAAAAAAATAGATATACAAGGTCCGCCACCAGGGCTTTTGAGCACTCGTCGGTGAAGAGGTAAGAGGGAGGTAAGAGAGTAAATTTTGGGGCACTGAGATAGTTAAGTCTGCTTAGCCCTGCAGTATAGCTCTTTAGGTTGATTGAGTTTATTTAAGGATTGCTATGGGGATGTTTGAGGAGATGTGGCTGGCCGAGATGGCATCGCGTGAATTTAGATAAAGGATAGATTCTAATGGAATCTGTGGTTAAGAGTCGCTATACAGGGGGGGGGCAATAAAAAAAACACATTTTGTCTCCACTTTCAGATAAACTTAAACACTCTTTGCTCAATTGAGACCGAGTTCGAGCGCATTTCATTCTATAAGAAAATCTTCATATGGCCATCGACTGGCTGGACGGCTAATCAGAAGAAGTGTTCTGGAAAACATGATGCGCTGGTCGAGCTGACGGGGTGCTTCAAAGGGTCGTGCAGATCTGAACCTTTGCGTAGGCCTCCTTGAGCTTGACGACGATGACAGATGACGTCATATTCTGAAGACGGTGAGGGCAGTGAAGGAGGGCCTGCGTTTCACTTATAGAGGGACACTTAGGGAATACTCTGCTGAGGAACTCCCGTCAACGACGGCAATCTCTGCGAAGAAAAAAGGCCGAAGTCCGACATAGGCAAAATGTCTTTTTTTTGACCCTCCTCCTATATATCCGCACGCGTGAAGTAAATAATCTGTTAGTGATTGTTCTTGGTATTCAATTTTGGTTAAGAAACTGAATGTATTCACGATTGATTTCGGCTCAAAACTTACCGCCACTAACTGCATGAGTTTATGATGAGAAGCGGTAGTGTGCAAAGCTGAGATCTCTGCGAGTTCGTCGTTGGTCCAGTGCAAATCGCGAAAGACCCCACCATGTGCCGAGAGAATATCGGATGCCATCGTCCTTCCTCCATGCCCATTTATTGACGTTGCCACAAGTAGGACGACCAATATGAGCGGTATCATCTGTAAAGCAGGCGTTCAAGTGATTCTTCATGCTCGATTTCTGACGCAAAAGCCTCGTGATAGACAACTGTCATGGATCACTGGCTATATGGGAGATCTAATGAGCTCATAAATGTGAATCACCATCGAAATGAGGCAGTTGAGAGAACGACGAGAAGTAAGAAGTGATTCCCAAGTGCAAATGGTGAGAGTAGAAGGAAAAAGCGAGAAGAATTTGATGAAAAGTGGAGAATAGCTCGGAAGGGTTTTTAGAGATCAACCCTACTGTAGCAGGACTTTTGGAGTTACTGCGCGGAGTTTTTATTTCTTGCTGATTTTGAAGTTTAATGGTCGGCGAGCGAGTCTTTTTACTAAGAAGATCGTATCGGTTCCCTATCACAGCTCCCCACCACCCCCTCCCGCCCATCCATTCCTCAGTGCACCGCATCTCAGGAACCTTCAAAGCTTGGTTAATTCCAGAAACCGAAAAACAAATAAAATAACCTGGTTACTCACGCCCCGTCGTTTCTTAGATTTCTTGGAGACCTATGGTGTAATACTGAAGAGATCTTCAGAGTTGCCGTCGTTCTACGACGACCTCCACCTAGGCATTTGATGACTTTTTGGTAATTTATGACCAAGTGTTCTCATCATATACCCTTTACTGCCTCGCTTTCCCGAGATCAGAGTGGATTTTCCTCGGGATTTGTCTTGTTGGGTGAAACTTGGCGAGAAACACATATATTGCATCCGTTTGATGTGTGAGCGCCTCGCGGTCGTGCTATATGCACCGGCGCCAAACGGTACCATATAAACTTGGATCATAAAGTTGCTGAATAACTGTCATTGGGTAGTTCGACTCAGAGAACACGATGATCACAGTCGTTTGCTGAAAGTGCCCCCAGGAGGCCCGTCGCGCGGCAAGAAGGCAAAGTCAGCGGACGAGTCGCGCGCGTACTATAGGGATTTCGCGTCAAGTTAAATAGAGTGTCCCATTGCACGTCCTACATCGCACATCACGCGCTGCAACTCGTCCGCCGACTCTGCCTTCTTGCCGCGCGACGGGCCTCCTGGGGGGGGGTACCCGTGGTGAGCGCGGGGCGCCCTCTCATCAAGTGAATGCGATTTTCGTGTTCTACGACCTAGATGACCCCTGGAGGCATACTTTTAGCTTAATTCAACCACAAGGAGGAATTTCAAAAAAAAACTTCGATCTAATCCTGGAAAAAATGGCACCAAAAAGTTAACAGTGCCGTGGTTAAGTCACCACTAGTTTCCGGAACGATCTTTCAGCGAGGAATTAGGATGCGTTCTGGCTCTCTTGTCCCGGAATTCTGTGACGAGGCCAGTGAAATCGCAACTGTCCGTCTACCTTGACCTTATCAAACGAAGAATAATCGGCAAGTGAGTGTGGAAGCGATATGATGAAATCAAAGAAGTCATTCTCCAAAAAACGCAAATTGGAGCAATAGGAAGTGCTATACGTTGTAGCGTATTTATTGGACCTCAGCCAGGCTGATTAAGTCACTAAATACTCGCGACGAATAATTGAATCATAAGAAGCAGTTAATGCTGTGAATAGAACGACATCACCGTCATCCAGTTTTTGAGCATGGCCTTTGTAGGAAACTGTGTTTTTATTGCAACAATACCAAAATTAATCAGTTTTCCACATTTACTGTGCCTTCAATAATATTTTATATGCTCGGAAGCATCATGTTTTGAAATCGAAATGGAAAATAATAGAAGGAGCCGCTTGCTAAAAGAGCAAACTAAACAAGGAGTGTTGAATATCCGTCGCTAGGTGATCCCTATGAAACGCTCAAGAAGCCGATTATTTGAAGCCATGCGGGTGAAAGACGTATTGCGACCAAAAATGATTCATGGGCTGCGTTGATGTCCACGTCACTGTCAGAGATACGTCTTGTGAGGAATTCCGAATGTGGTTACTTCATTTCGTTCCCTCCCCACCACCCTCTGCCATCCAGTGAAGCAGATATGTACCACTTTTCAGGCACGTGGGACACTGTGACGCGTCGCGCATCCCGCACATGCCATCCCCTTTACTGCGATTGCACGGCCTCTTCCCCAAGTTGTTTGCATCTCTTCTATGGCAATCACACCATAAAGCACGCTCGCTCGCGCTCGCTGTTCCATCCAGGGGTAGTAGGCAGGTGGACAAGTGTTGATGTCGGGCCCCTTTTGCGGCTTGAAAGTACGCGACAAAGGCGCAAGGAGCTCGTCCAACCCGCAACTCACACCTTCGTCCGCAAGCCCCACCCTCCGCTGTCGGTTGCCACGTGGCGCTGCTTTGAAAAGCGCGGGCGCATTTGAGGCAGCGGTCCCACGCGACCCTGTGTCAATGGCACTGGAGCAACTAGAGTTAGGTTCGCGAAACTCGTCCAACGCGCCCTTCTCTATCTCAAGATGGAATGTGGCTGAAATTGGGAACGGTCTCTGCGCGGGGCGTAATCGGTGGTTTCGTTTGCTTTCCTTCGCTTTTTCAGACCACCTCCCACCTCTAGCTTCATGAATTAACGCTTTTCCACACCTATTTTATCCCGAATCTTGCCTTTAAGACTCACAGTAATGTATTCGGCTAACCTAAGTGGTCTGTTCGGTGTGTCCGTATGTATATGTGCTTGATTGGAAATTCGCAGCAACGATGGCACGTTAATCTTACATCTGATATAAGGGGTGGTGGGACGGGGTGGTAGAAGGCGATAGCGGTTGATAAGAGCTTATAAAGGGATTGGAAGCGCCAGTGTCGTCAGGTGTTAAGTGTCGCCAATTTCATTTTGTCGTTCATTTTGACATTAGAGAGTCTGCTCTTACAGGGGTTATGTGGGTTGGAATGGAACATAGCTGGTGGGTAATTGAAAGTGATAACAACTGATAAGGGTATTAGGACCTGTTGGAACGCAAAAGTCTCCGCTTCCATTACGCAGCTCGCGTAGGCGTTGATGCGTTCGCTCATACTGTGTAGTTGGGAGGGAAGTTGTTGGTGGGTGACTAAAAGTGATCATAAATATGTCAAGGCCTCTCAGCACGCGAAAGTAGCTAATACAGTTAAGCAACCTGCGTCGAACCTGGAGCGCTTATTCAGATGTCTTCTGTGGGTTGGGACGGGAACATGTTGTGGGATACAGAAAGTAGACTGATACAGTCGATGTGTCCTCGGTCGATAGCATCAGAAATTACCCTACAGCTAAAATAGTTTTGAGTTTCGGTGAATAATGTGATAAACGATATTCTTGAGTAAAGCTGATACCCAAGTATTCCATGTACAAAGCTTTTTCGGTCGCCACAACTAATTTTCGAAAAAAAAATGATGAGTGATTCCCAGGTTTCTGACGGGCAATGCTGCTGGCTTATCAACTAGAACTGTTTGCAACTTTGTGAATAGCGTAAGTCAATTCGAATGAAAGTAGCGTGCTGCTTTGAAGTGGAGGCCGGTTATGCCCAGGTTTACCTCGCCTAAATAAGCGTGTGGAGCTAAAGTGGTGTCCAATCTCCATGATGCCCGCGCCGCCGTGGCAGCCCTGCTCCGATATGTTCCACTTTAGCGAATCTTTGATAACTATGGACCTTTGAGTTGGGTTCATTCCTCGTTTTCGTGATAACCACATTTACCCGGAGATAAAGAAGAATAGTAGAAGTAAATACAAAGCTATACGGAAGGCACAACATATGTTTTTACCGGAACAACCACTTCGAGGATACTTTCAACGTTCATTTCTTCAGCGTGAGAGCAAGTGAAATTTGATTTCTACTTTGGCGTCACACTTTCTTCTGATCAGCATTCTACTGCTATGCCCCCGAATACGTTCTATGAACTGGGCATGACTAAGATTCTCTTGTGCCGTTCATGTTTTGCATATTTATCACTCAAAATACACGAATGTGAGTTGGCCGCACCGGCAAAACCGCGCCTGTCCCGCGCCGTTGAAAGGTCAAATCGTGTGCTGTCGTCAGTTCGTTGAAGGAAGTGGTTACGATAGAGATAGCTCATCGGGAAGCATATGCACCACACGAATCAGTTACTTGGTTGCCAGGGAAGCGAGATGTGGCGCTTTCACAACGAAAGGTGCGCTGGTTGCAGGACTTCGAAAGCGCTCCGCCCCCAAAAGCGATCCGCCCACTAGTTTACTTGTTGATTTGGACGAGCTGCGTGGCCAGCAGCGGCGCAAATGGAGCATCTCGATTAAAGCGTAGTTTGGCATGGTGCCATCAAACGCGTTGCGGTGAACTCGTTCATACGTCCACTTTCTGAGCTGTTACCTGTTCATGAGTGAAAACCAACGGCCAAAAAGGGGTCCCGTTTTGCGTTTTCTTGACGGATTTTTCTGCTTTTTTTCGCTACTGGCGTACCATTGAGCACCACCACGTCACACTAAACCCTTCTTGAATTTATCGTAATCGCTGCCTTTAAGTGAGCGCCTCAGCAGCTTCAATATATTGTATATGGATTGCAAAAGAAGGCTTGAATCACATATAGATGTCTAATGGTAAGATGACTGAAAGAGGTAGTGGGTGATCTCACAAGTTTTAAAGCAACAGTTCAGGAACGGTTTCGCGGGAAAAAACCACCAATAATGAAGTTGTAGATGAAAACCAGACGATTAATGTATGAAAAACTGGAAAAAAACGTCGGGGAGGGTCTTAGACAGGTACTCTCCCTCTGCCGCTCAGCAATGGATAAAGACGCACGTTGGACGAGTTGTCTGAACGTGCCCGCTGTAAACGCGCTCCATTTTTCAATCAATTTTCCCTGTGGTCCCAAAACGAGCACGATTGCCGACGCGTCCAATGACGGCCGGCAAGGGGGCGGGATTGGGGAAATCCCCAAGAACACCCATGTTTGAGGGACTTTCCACCCTGTTTTTGAGTTTCTGAGGTAAGTTCGTTTATTATTTCCACTGTATGTTAGGTTCGTACCGCATACTTGAAGAACTTATGCAGTTTATTTCGCCCTGCTACGTTCTTCACTAGGCTCGTGTAATCCTCAGTAGTAGTGCATT